ATTCAACCATCACTTGGATATCCTTTCCATTAACACGGTTACACTCAACAATTAAACGACCAACAATATGGTTACCACTTGATTTCAAGTGTCAATACAATAACATTAACCAATACGCAGTCCAGTTCAGTATAGAGATTAGTGAGTTGTTATGTTTTCTATTTCTTTCTTGAGCCTAACTTGGTACATGTGAAATAGTTATTGTTGAAAAATAATACAAAAAGAAGATACAGAACAAGTACTTAATTTATCGCAACCACTGGCATGGAACCTTAAGTTTCTCATAAATTAATAAAAAAATTCTTATTTCTGGTAACAACTCAACTCAGTGCTTGTATTCAGAATTTACTCTAAACAATTAATGTACATCAGTACTTGTACTAACGTGTAACTGCAATCAAACGTGATTTTTATTATAACTCCAATAAACAGAAAAGTTGACCCTAATTATTCATTGAGATCAATATGTTGAGGCAACTGATTTAAAGTCAAGTTATAGTCCTCGGTTATCCAAACTGAATAGACATTAAGACAAAAGCACCACTACTGATCAATATGTTGAGGCAACTGATTTAAAGTCAAGTTATAGTCCTCGGTTATTCAAACTGAATAGACATTAAGACAAAAGCACCATTACTGATCAATATGTTGAGGCAACTGGTTTAAAGTCAAGTTATAGTCCCCGGTTATCCAAACGGAATAGACATTAAGACAAAAGCACCATTACTGACCAATATGTTGAGGAAACTGGTTTAAAGTCAAGTTATAGTCCTCGGTTATCCAAACGGAATATACATTAAGACAAAAGCACCACTACTAATCAATATGACTAGGATTAAACTCAATCATTATGAAACTTGAACAACTGTTTCCAGTAGATGTAATTCATAGTACATAACCAGTTTGTACAACTGAAGATGAGTTCATAAACTCAGTTGAAAGGACGTTATGCCTCTTACTTACTGGGTGCTATTGTAAAATACAATGTATATGCTATATTGTATGATTACCGCTCAATTACTTGAAGTTAGGATGGTTTCTGGATTGCAAGGTTAGCAAGATAAAAATAACTTATTTGATCCTTACTTTCCAAACCACCAGACTGAGTTTCACTGTAAGAGATATTCATAGAATATCATATGATAGCTGCTTGATTAACACAATAAAAATCGCTGGTGTTGTTAGATGTAGTATTTTGACCACCAACAGTTTACACAGCTGAAATATAGTAAAAAGCTTGAAAGTTCAGCCGAAATGGCTTTGTAATCCCTGAGAAACACTCCCTTGATCTAATTGAGAGACAAGGAGTCTACACAGAATACCACATGATCCTTGCTAGGTGTTTTTCGGTACAAATGAAGAATGCGTGACTTCTCTACAGCAATGAGGGAGTGTTGTTTGAGTATATATTGATATATATATATATCTTGCAGTAATAGTACGAATATTAAGACTGACCTATGAGCATTTTGACTAAAAAAGACTTAGTTTGGCTAAACTCTGTCAGTAATTATTTGTATCGTGATGCCTGAAAAGAAAAACGTGTTCAGTTTGACGGCTCCTAGATGGCAGCACATTGTTATACCCTCGCTGTTGAAATATAGCCCGTGTGGTTTAAGCCTAGATGTAGTGTAACTGTTATTCGAACTTACTTCCATTACTACTAGTGAAAGAATATTTCAATTAGGACATTAAAATATTGGGCAAATAGTGAATTTTTTCATGGAAGGATAAGAATAATGGAGAAACACAAAATCTTAGCGAAAACAGTTTTATCTGTTGCTGTTTTGTTTTTGCCTCGATTAGTGCAAAATATTGAATGGAATTGAAATATTCATGAGTGGGTGAAATTGTCAGTAGTATATGAAATTCACAGACAATGGCTTAAATATCATAACAAACATAAATTTGTTGTGCCCTGTGTTTTTTGGTCATGATATTTTCAGTCTTGCAGATTGAAATACCTAAAAAACATTTTCTAGATATTTTCTTAACATTGTTTCTGTACAAGGTGCAGTATAATATGCCTAAAAATACACACTGTTCATATACAAGGAGGGGAGCAGAAAGTAGCTCCCACATGGTGAAACTTTGAAAAATTGTATCTAATTAATATTAAACTTGTAAATAATAAAGAGAGACAATGTAAATGTTATTAGATTCCAATGGTCAAACGTAAGAGTTGGCAATACCTGTCCCAAATATTCTGGCAGCCGTTTAGCAGCCTTGATTCCATTCCTTTCCTGCTGGAATTGGGTGCTATTTACATAACAACAAGATGGCAGTGTAGGAAATGGATCCGTCTCGAGAAAGACAACTGGGGGTAACACAGCTTATAAGATATTGATCAAATGGAGACCCAATGAAGCCTGTGTACCGACAAACTCATGACCATTAGGGTTATACTTATACGTTCCATAGGAAATTAAATCATAAGCACCCATGAACCCCATAAAAATATCGTTTGACTAATGTAATTCGTGTATTTCTCTCTCTCTCGAAAGATAGTATTTTAGAGGGAAGTAATGGTCATAACTGTCCAGTTATGAACATTTTTCAACCTACACATACTTGCTGGCCCTCTGAACAACTGGTAATTATCAGACATTTAATTTCTCTACTGGCAGCACTCTTCAATTTACTGATTTTATCTTATTCTGCAGTAAGTCATGGTAGATAAAGGTGTAGAGGAAATATGACTACAGTGTTGGCAACTCTAGGCTAGGAATCTCACAGGCCACAGAAAGTATCTTGAACTGATACCAAAGCTATTGGATGTGTCAATGTTTACTAGACTCAACTTGTAAATACTAGAGAATTTGTAGCTTTTTGATTATTTGTTTGTTATTAAGCACAACACCATACAATGGTATATCTGTGATGTGCCCACCGTTAGTATCAAAACTCAATTTTTAGAGTTATAAATCATCAGACTTACCACTTTATTTTGTATTGTTTCAGGTTAACCTATGTAGAAGTTTTTTATTTAATGCATTATTTTATTGGTTATTTTTCATTTATTAAGTACTATAAAGTTTTAATCTTATATAGTATGCTTGACTCATGTTTTTTTTGTCAAATGATATTGTATGTGGTTTTAAATAATATTAGGATTTGGCCATTTTCATGTTGAAGGGCATTGTTATGTGTTTTTGCAGTGTGTGCTTGCATCTGTGTTGAAGGGTTTTTCTTTATCTGTGGTCTCTCTATGTCAAAGGGTACGTTTGTCGAGTACAATTATGTATTATAATTGTAATTGATAAAGAACAATTAATTATTTGTTAAAGTGATTTTTTGTGCTGATGTATGATATTTTCTTTTTTTAAGGATTGCGTCGCCTGTGCTGAGTATAAATGTTTTCAGGGGCAGGAGAAAGTTAATGTGTTCCTTGACCAGGGAGTGAGTTTATATATAAAACTTATTGGTTTCAAATTTAAAATACGGGTGAGAAAGAGGAAACTGTTGTATATAAATGTAATACTAATACCTGACTCGCAAATTAACTTAGTTGAAGATTTTCCCCGCGAATGGATCAATAACAAACACGTTGGATAACCCAGTGACTCTTACTGTCCAAGTCACTAACAGACACTGAACTGAAAAATTCATTATCTGACTCACTAATTAATTAACTGAATATTCATTAACTCATTGATTACTGATTCACTCACTCTGGCTTTTATATCATTCTTGTTTTCTGCTTACAACACAAACTTTCTAGGTCATTAACGTCATCATGATTTGCTTCCGCTAAAAAAGAAACACCTACATTAACATATTAACTGGTAGTTTATAACGACATACGATCTGATAAAATTAAAATATGTTACTGCTGTAATATGCCTTAAACTAAATACTTGTTTTGAACTTTGTCTGACATTGTTCCAATTCTACATCACTTTCATCCTCTTCTGAAGCCATATTCATTCCATAATTAATTGCAGATAAAAAGAAATGAACTGATAAATTAATCACGGAGTGGGAAAGAAAGATTATTAACTTAAGTTGCCAATTCTTTCGCTAAACCACCTTCATAAAGTTTCTTTCGGTTTCGAGGAAGGTAGTTTGGTTAAAATAGATCTCATACTATTAATTAAGGCTATTTATTAACAATAGTAATCACTATTTTTTGTACAATACTTAGCAGCACTTCTAAGTTGATGTTATTACATAATTGTTTTTCCTTTGCTGCTATTGTAACCATTTGTTTGTATTTTCAGATCTTATTTAGTTTGAGGTGTATTGTTATTCATAGTTAATAGTATTTTGTTTGTTTGTTTGATGTTGAGCACAAAGCAACACAATGGCTATCTGTGCTCTGCAGGCCCACCACGGGTATCGAAACCCAGTTTCTAGTGTTGTCAGTAGAAATACCGCTGTACTACTGGGGGGGGGGGGCTAATAGTCTTTAATCAAATTTCTATAACATATGCAATTACGCTAGTGTTATTTTTTATTTCGTTCTAATGCATACAAAATTTATATTAGTGAGAAACATAATTTCATAACTTGTCCGAAATCGGAAGTGCCTTACCAAGTTATGAATGTATTAATACTTTCAATAGTATTTTTTGATATTATAAAGTTAATATAAAACTTGTTGCAATTCATATCACTTTTAATTAAAAAACTATTTTGATGCCAAATTATCAAACTAACTGTCTATTTAACCAAGAATAGTACATACTCTTACTTTAAACAAGTTATGATTTTCGTTTTTGACATATATGACCTAATTTCACCAAGCTAATGTCTGCAAAATGAGAATCAAGCATAGCAGAAGACAGAATAATAAAATTTGAAACTACAAAAGCGCTTAAGGAAGAGGAAATATTACTTAAAAGATAAAATGCAGATAACTTTTTATGAATTTTTTCCTTATTTGAAATGTGTTTATCCAATTAATATAATAATTTCGGCTTATGAGTTTTTTTTCCATTAGTACAAATTGTTTCACCTTTTCTTGTGTTCGAAAGAAAGTAAACAGGTAGTTAGTTTCCTTCTTACTGAAGCTGAAAGAGGGCGAAAGGTCGCGAAGTTGGAAAGAATAATCGAGTTTAACGAAACCTTTGTTTATTTAAAGTAGAATATCGATCCTTTTGCATTTTTCAGTCGCAACGTTTCACGGAGCTGATTTACATATATAATCCGAAAACATGGGCGTTATTCATAACTTCAATTTTTTAACGGACTCCCCAGTTGCTCTAGCTGAACTGGAACTGGAAGACCATTTGGATGAGTAAGCTAAGAATTAACTTTAGTTTGTAGTTATTTATATAAGCTAACTTGTAGTGTCGATATGTTGTCAATAGTTTCACTTTTTAGTTTTAGTGTTACTGACATTAACAGTGGTGCAGGAACTTGCTGAGGAAGGATCTGACACTGGTAAGTCGAAGGACAAGATTTTCTAACGTATTAATTACATACTAACCCTTCTCCCACAGTTTATACTATTGCTAGTGTTGGTGTTAATTAATATTCGTGTTATAGTTCAATAACATTTCCTTTGCTCTCCCCCTACCCCATCGGTCTTTCTCTGTTTCAGTGTTTGTCACTGGATCATGTATTATTAATCGTATAACATAAAATTAGTAATAGAAATATTTTATTTGATCATGTTTTTATCACTATCTTAATTAATAATAAATTACTGGTTTATGAAAGTTTGTTCTATTTATTGCAACATAAAAATAACAAACTAATTTTAGAACTTAGGCTATCTAACTGTGTTAGCTGGGATAGATGATGCTAAGTTAATGAGTGTTATTAATACCCTGTTAAGCAAATATTACACATGAAAGATACACCGTGTTTATTACACTCACTAGACAAACAGCCTTTGTTTTGAATAAATACAAACACCTTGGGTGCAAGTCCTTTATAGGTTGGTTCACACCCATGGAAACAAGGGACCGTGTAGTTTGACTGGTTGAAAGTAAACAGTACTTCTATTTAGGCTGAGGCTAGCCACACACTCCTGAGCCGCAATATCATCTTTGGGCAAGGTTGTCCACACTGTTGGCAGTGCTGCTAGAGATTACTGAACAACTGGATATCATAGTATCATTTGTTATCATTGTGTATTAGTTAGCCTGAAGATGATACCATAAGAGGAGTTTAATCCCTGCTCAATAAATATTGATTCTGGAGATAAAAACTAGATTATTTGGTTTATCATTTTCAGATATGAATGTTAACCTCCCTGTGTCACTCCCTGGGGGGCCCTAAGGGTACATGCCAAGTTTGGTGACACACTCACATAGACTTCTAGGGTACATGCCAGGTTTGGTGACACACTTAGATAGACTTCTGGTATAGAAAAAGTCAGACCAGTTTTACTTCCTCAAGTTCCTTCTTGTTAGTTCTATTAATGTGTGCATTTGTGTTCCTTAATGTTACAAACATGTTGAGTCTGATAGAAGTGGATAAGCCATATTATAACTGTATTTTAATTTGTTTTTCAAACAGCTTCTCCAAACATTATCTTACATGTAATATGTGAGCATTAGGCTAACTACTGGAAAAAAGTTAACTTTTCTAACTTGAACAGTCTTAGTCTTCCTAGATTTAAACTGAACTTGCATTTTAGGTCATTAGAGTAATTTTATAACATAATTTAGTTGTAAGAATATCTGTGGACATTTTAACTTGGTTGACAAAAGGTGTGTGTCTATTTTCTGTGAAACAAATACTTGTATTAAGGTGGTTGTGTACTAGATTACCTAAATCCAAGGAAATGAAGATATCTTTTTATTTCTACACACAGTTGGACTGTGAACATAATGTTAAAAGGAAATATTTCTTAGTCTTTGTCCAGATCATGAAAATACTATTAACAGTTCCCTAATTTCTATCAATGTTTCAGTACTGGTTTTCTGACTCCATGTAAAACTTGCCAATTTCTAAGCTTTCTGTTTATTCAATGGAATATTTATAGCTGAAACTCTGCTTCTTAAACAAGACAAGTATTGGATGGCCGGTCATTTCATTTGTATATAGAAGTGCACTGTCATGTGTCAGTTTTAATAACCAATGTGTATAAATAAACCTAGGCTGGTTGTGAAAGTTATCAACACATGGATGGTTCCCTGATGTTCAGGGCAATAGATTGGTTAGAAGCTGGTCTGACACAACAAGTTGTTGCAGAATGGCTGCAAGTCTCACAATGTGTGGTTATCAAGTTGTGGATTTGCTTTCATGCATCAGGAGACTTTGACATGGTAGACCCTTCTATAGGATAGTTGCTTTTAACAATATTGGCTTGAAACAACCTGTAGGTCTCAGCTTCTCACCTGTATGAACAGGTCAAAGCAACAACTAGATGACAGATCAGCAGTATGGGCTTGAAACAACCTGTAGGTCTGAGCTTCTCACCTGTATAAACAGGTCAGAGCAACAACTAGAAGACAGATCAGCAGTATGGGCTTGATGAAACAACCCATACATCTCAACTTCTCACCTGTATAAACAGGTCAGAGCAGCAACTAGATGACAGATCAGCAGTATGGGCTTGATGAATCAACCCGTAGGTCTCAGCTTTTCACCTGTATAAACAGGTCAGAGCAGCAACTAGATGACAGATCAGCAGTATGGGCTTCAAACAACCCGTAGGTCTCAGCTTCTCACCTGTATGAACAGGGCAGAGCAGCAACTGGATGACAGATCAGCAGTATGTGCTTGATGAAACAACCCGTATGTCTCAGCTTCTCACCTGTATAAACAGGTCAGAGCAGTAACTGGATGACAGATAAGCAATATGGGCTTGAAACAATGCATAGGTCTTAGCTTCTCACCTGTATGAACAGGGCAGAGCAGCAATTGGATAACAGATCAGCAGTATGGGCTTGATGAAACAACCCGTAGGTCTGAGCTTCTCACCTGTATGAACAGGTTAGAGCAACAACTGGATGACAGATCAGCAGTATGGGCTTGATGAAACAACTCGTATGTCTCAGCTTCTCACCTGTATAAACAGGTCAGAGCAGCAACTAGATGACAGATCAGCAATATTGGCTTGAAACAACCCGTAGGTCTCAGCTTCTCACCTGTATGAACAGGGCAGAGCAGCAACTGGACGACAGATCAGCAGTATGGGCTTCAAACAACCCGTAGGTCTCAGTTTCTCACCTGTATGAACAGGTTAGAGCAACAACTGGATCACAGATCAGCAGTATGGGCTTGATGAAACAACTCGTATGTCTCAGCTTCTCACCTGTATGAATAGGTCAGAGCAGCAACTGGATAACAAATTAGTATACAGATGGCCTGAAACAGGATTCATATATTCTTTAATATACTGTCACAACATTTCCTCTCTTCAGTTGTGTTGAAAACGTATCAGTTGAATACAGATGGATCACAAACCACACTACAGTTAGACATGAGACATGTATGCAGTTGTGTACAGGATAAAATCCAATCTTAACTTTATATGGTGATGGCAGCATACTGGTTTGGGTAGGTATCAGTATTGTTGGCACTCTGACCTTTATATGTTTGAACTTGGCACTATGAATACCTTAAGATGTAGGGATGCAGTATATTGACCATTAATGCATGTGCAGTTGGTCAGACCCGATGGATGATAATGTGCACCTCCACCGGCCAGACATTTCTTCTGATGGATGAAGAGAGTATAAAGCAACTGGATACTCACCAGCTTAAGAACAGTAAGATATGTTTAGGAAGACTTGGCAGCATGCGATTCACTGCTTAAGTGTTGATGCAACTCTTATGGAAGATTGGGCACCTCATTGATTCACTCATTTTAAGCTTGCCACTTCAATGTATGACTTACATTAGTATCTGAGGTGGTCATACACCTTATTAACAAATATTTTTCTGACCATTTATTGGGCTGTATAGCCTATTGTAACAATACACTCTAATATTAGATATCTACAAACCTGGTCAAATGACACTTGTGCTTGTATTAACATAATTTCAATTATATCATAGAAATTACAAGAGCTGAAATTAATATCTAATAAGAATACTCATAACAAGTATTTTAAAATATTGTATATATTAATATTCTATATTGGTGAGTGGTTTTTCATTTTAACTGGTTGGAAGTAATTTCAATTTTTGAATGTAAAGCACAAGCAAATTACAACCAATGAATACATACTTCTTTGTCTGTTTATACATCATGATAGTTTTAAATGATATCTTAATCAATGAAGTCAACTTGGGTTCAGTATTCACTACGGTACATAATGTTTATGACCAAGAATGGTATAGTAGGGATGTTTATATGGTGAGTCAGATAAACTTTTTATGTAAAACAACTTGAATCATGTGACCTATACAAATAATTGTGCACCATAATAGATATTATAACTTTTCATTGTGCCTAAAATCTGTGAACGAAGAAACTAACAATGCTAACTATAAATAAGTACAAATGTGAGCCCAACTGATAGTGAAAGTTACCAGCATCACTAACAAAATGAACTGAAATGGCAGTTAAAAAAGAATTTATTAATTAGTGTCAAGAGTCATAACCAAATTGAGTGTAGTGTGTTTTGATGTATATATTGTATAGGGTGTGTAATGTTTTTAGTGATATCTGTATAATTCCAAATGCATGAAATTTCTATGAATAAGCCAGTGTTAAAGATTATTTAGTGTCTTTAAACACTGTTTTGTGAGTGACTGCAAAATCCACTATTTGTTTCAGCTCCAGAAAATCCTGGTTAAGTATTAAAAGTTGTGTAAATGGACAATTAGTTTTGCAAACCTGTATGACAAATAAAACACTTGGTGCTACTATAGTGTGCAGTCTGCAAAGATATTTACAGTATAGCATACGGTTCACACAGATACAATCATCATCACCATTTTTGTTTAGCAAATAATAATAATTTAATATGTTGTATGTTCCAAAGAGTACCTCAAATTTAGGTTATAATTGTGCTAGTTTTATTGTTGGAATTTATTTCATTCCAATTATATTTACCCCCAAAACGTTATGTAATGGTATTTTGTACTACATTAATTTAAAAGTTTTGTTTTTGAATTTCGTGCAAAGCTACACGAAGGCTATAAAGCATTTGTAATAAATGGTGTAAATAAACCAAAGTTAAAACAGTGATTATGATAGTATCTGTGTAGACTGCACGTTATAGTAGCGCCACAAATGTTTAGTACTAACTTGTTAGTTTTCTTGTATGTTTTAACACAACACTCAAAGACCAGGATGAAATTTGTTTAATTATGATGTTATAATTAAGTTTTCAAATACAATGTTCCCAAAACTAAATTTTCAAAATTCATCCTATAAGTCTGAATTGATTTTCTAATTTGTTTTTATAGGGTACCTGAGGAACAAGTTCACCGTAGACAAAGAAAGATCAAGCACAGAAATCCTGTTAGGCCTGAGGTTTCTGGCATTAGAGTTCGAAATGGGAAACGTTTCAAGCGTGGAGAAACAAGTATTTTATTTTAACACTCCTATATATCTGTTAGACTTCATTTTATTCAAATTAATTGGGCTTGACTAGTATCAGTCAGCAAGATCTAAAATTTTGGTAGGTTTACACACAATGATTAAGTACTACAATGCACTACTAAACATTTATAAAATTTAAACTTCTGTAACCATTGTTCTTGAAAACTTTCTCAAGGTTCATTAAGTTTACTTTTTCAGTTAGTGTATATTGTAAACAAGAAACACCAATATTGTAGTATTTCTGTGATTAAATAATATACATTTTCTTATTCTTCAGAATTGTTGCATAAAAATGTACTTTGTAATACTTTGAACTCAAAGAATCCTGCATTATATTTTCTACCAATAGTAGGTCAAAAATAAGTAAAGTATATTTTAACAATGTAAATATTAGTATTTAGAATGATCATCAAGATGTTTAAAATATTAGCACTTGTAGCATACTGTCTGGTTGAACTACTAACACGTGTAGCATTGTGTGTATATGATTTTAGCTGGTTTCTTGAAAACTGTGGATGATGAAGATGTTGAAGAAGTGACCATCTATGACTTTATCCCCAAGACGGTATCAGCTTTCACTCTGTTGTTGAAGGAGAGAGAAAAAATGAAGGTGAAGAACTTGGAAAAATTATCATTTTAACATGTGAAATCAGAACTAAGCCTCTTTAGATATGATTAAAATGAGTATAATTAATATGAAAGTGGAATACTTTTGTTATTACCCGAGCACTTTCGAAAGATGGATCTTTCTTCTTCAGGGCAAAGCAGTCGGGTTGTAGGATTTTTATCATTTTATATTAAGGCTTCTTGAACCTATCGGTCCATCTGAATCATGAATGTGTTATTACATTAATATATGAAATTGTTCAACCATTTTATCAGTGTCTAAAGCTTGTATTGTTTAGTCAGCCCTGACTAACTAGGAAGTCTGTGGGTCAATAAGAATATCCAAAAAAAACGATGTAACTGGCCCAACAGGGCTAACTATAGTTTTAAGCATTTTTCCTAACTTAACTTGTCATCAAATGTGTATTTTTATACTTACACACAGTTGTGTTTTCATTTTTCCTAACTTAACTTGTCATCAAATGTGTATTTTTATACTTACACACAGTTGTGTTTTTATCCCTTAACATCATCATCTTTACTTTAATCTCCCAAATGGAGCCTCTAGGTCACACTGGATCCCTGGCCTATTTTCATACATTGTGGGATATCTCTATAATATCTGAAATGAAAAGGTGGGGGTGGTGGGGTCCTGTAATCTGTGAATGATGAGATAGATCCAAGTGAAGTGTAAAGAATATTAACACCTATGCTGTGTTGTAATGGAAGACTAAAGTGACAGAGGTAAAACACTACTCTAATGCTTTCATTGAAAATAGCTACAGATCAAGTTTAAGTTCCATTGAAATGAGCTTATTATAAAGTTTTTACATCAAAGTAGTCAGTAGAGTAAGGGGTGAGAGAAATAATCTGTGGTTTCTTCAGAAGGTGACAAGAGCTACCTTCTGCAATGAAGAACAGAATCGATTGAGAAGTTTAAAAGCCATGAATGTGTGTGAAGTAATCTATGGTTTCTTTAGAAAGTGACAAGACCTACCTTCTACAATGAAGAACAGAATCGATTGAGAAGTTTAAAAGTCATGAATGTGCGTGTGAAGTAATCTGTGGTTTCTTTAGAAAGTGACAAGACCTACCTTCTACAATGAAGAACAGAATCGATTGAGAAGTTTAAAAGTCATGAATGTG